AGAATCAGTCTGTACAGGAATTGGAAAGTTATGCTGTATACAAGGCTGAAGAGACTACAAAAGCAGTTAATGGTTGTCTGAAGATTGCTGAAGAAATGAGAGAAGATGCAACTAAAACTTTGATCAATTTACACCAGCAGGGTGAGCAAATTACTAGAACTCACATGGTTGCTGCCGAAATTGACACAGATCTTAGCAGGGTATGTATTCCTAGCTCAAGAAATCCTATTATTTTAATGTGTACAGACTATTTATTTATAAATTAATTTGCTCTGGTCTATCATTCAAAGTTCAGACTTAAAGATGCTAAATGTAATTGCAACCTTTTTTCAGTCGTATATTGACCATTTCCTGCCAGGCTACCTCTAAAGGGCATCCTCCTTCACATTTCAGATCCAGAATGACAATAGAGAATATTAACTCCCTCTCCTAATATTTTATATGCATGTCGGAATAATCCATGATGGATGATAGATTTAGAATTTTCATCTAATTATTCCCTCCTGAGATTGTGAAAGGAGGGCATCCGACTTTCTAGCAAGTAATTCATATAATTAAATTAGCAGTTTATCACTACAAATTTAATGCCACTGACCCAACTCATTGGTGTTAAGGTGCTGATAATAATGACCAATTATCTAATTGACATTTACTGAACAGTTAATCATGCTTGCTGGATCTTACTTATGTATATAATCATTCTCAAGGTCTGCATATATACCATCTTTAAGCATGTTTCTTTGACGTTTTCCTCAGATGAAATGTTCAATGTTTGTTTGATAGGGTAATGCTTTGCTTCTGGAATGCAGTTCTTAGTTCTTACTATTGATAGCTGACTTCAGTAAATTTGAAATTAATTCAGGGTGAAAAACTTTTGGGAAGTCTTGGGGGCTTATTTTCCAAAACATGGAAACCTAAGAAGAATCGCCCAATAACCGGCCCTATTATCACACGCGGTTAGTTCTTTCTAATCTCCTTCATAAAAGCATGATGGGATCGATTAAATAAATGATTGCTTCTTTTGGGATGTCGAAGTAGGTTGCTGATTAGTCTTTTGTGGTGTTGCAGATGATGTAGTACAGAGAAAGGGTAATCACTTGGAGCAGAGGGAAAAACTGGGGTTGAATTCTGCTCCCAAAGGTCACTCAAACACACAAAGATCCCTTCCTGAACCAACTAATGCATTGCAAAAAGTCGAAGTAAAGCTTTTTTTTACTTAGGGATTTTTCTTGTTATGTGTATTATTATTGTTAATGTTCTCATTATTACTATATTCTTTTATTGATCTGAGAACTTCAGATTTTGTTTATGACCACATCCGTAATTTGTTGAGTAATGCTAGGTGGTCATTACATTGGTACATTCTAGAGAGACTCTTATGTGGCACATTTCATTGGACAATCATCACGTGTCTAACTTATCACCATCAATGAATGTGTCACACGTCTAATATTCCCCTTAGAATGTATGAATTTAATGTTCTCTTTGGATTATTATCTCTGGCCGTATTTTTACTAGAGTTGATTGAAAGAGAAGGACAAATTTAGAGCTCTAGCCAAAATATTTTTCTTAGATATTGTCATGATTGCTCACACACCATGACACTTCCTTTTCCTTTTCTTTTTTGGTCCGATCATACCATGTCTTACAGAAGCTCTCAAGTACTAAGAAGCACGAAAACATCACAGAGCTCATGTTTTGCCATTTCACAAGTTCAAAAACTTCAAGCTATATTTTCTGCCCCGTTTCCGTAATTGAAATATTGAGAAACCTGTCTCCTTAATTAATTAGTATTTTGGAAATGTAAGGTCTTAACGTTTTCTTCATTTTGATGGGATTTCTTGATGAAAATCAGTGTTTTTTTGTGGGATTTATGGATGAGAGTTAGTGAATAAAGAACAGCTCTAGGAACATTTCCATAAATAGAGTGCTTTACAAACAGATCACCTATAGCAGAAAGCTTGTCTAAATGGTGTTTTTGTACAGGTTATAGATATATGCAGATGCGAAAAAAGCAGTCGATCTGATTCTTGTAGTGGGTTTTGAGCAGGTGGAAAAGGCAAAGCAAGATGATGCACTCTCTGATCTAAGTAATCTCTTGGGGGAGCTCAAGGAAATGGCCATTGACATGGGATCTGAAATTGAAAGGTATGCTCAAGTTTGAATGTCCTTCAAAAAAAGCATTTCCCAAGTTTCAAACATATAGTCCTTATGTGTGCTCAACTGAAAATGGGAAACGTTCATTTACAATGCTTGCAGGGGGAATAAAGCCTTGGACCATCTTCAGGATGATGTTGATGAGCTGAACTACAGAGTAAAGGGTGCCAATCTACGTAGCCGCCGTTTGCTTGGGAAGTAGTGATATTGTTCTGCAACCAACCAGATACCACCCACTCCCATCTTCTAAATCACATCATCATGGTCTTTAGGCAATAATAATAAATGGTGATTCTTTCTTATGTTATTGGTATGCCTGATTTCTTGACGGCCACACTGTTGTTATGCATAGGATCTCTTACAACTGAGTGGGGTACTAACGTTTCATTCATTCAACTACCGAAGTTACTGTAATGCTACCATTTGGACACTGTTTCTAGTATAATAATTTGCATACACCTTTGTTGTACGCTTGATAAATTTATTTAAGAGATTTCGCCTCAAAGTTCTCGTGTAATTACAGATTTACAAATTGAATCCTTGTCAAATTGCTTCTTTTTCTTTTAATTCAGGTTTGAATTATCAATGAATTGGAATCTGTATGCTTCATTTCTTAGTTCTGTGTTCAGCAAACTATCAGAAGTTTGCTGAACACCTTCTGTATATATTTCTAAAATTCCAATGCATATGTACAGGCCTTATAAGGTTAACCCCTTACTGAAGACATGAGATAGACATATATTCTAACCTCTGTAGAAGGCAAGCAATTAGAGAATCAAAGAAGGCAAATCAAATAATTAAACAAAAGATTGAACTAAGGCAGACTTATATGTAGGGGTGGACCGGTTCTGGTTCGGGCCCGGTTCGGGCCTGGGCCCGGCCGGTTCGCGGTTCTGTTTTGTTGGGCCCGAGCTCGAACTGGTAGCCACCGGTTCCGGTTCCGGGCCGGGCTGGGCCACCCGATTTGTAATTTTTTTTTGGCTTCACCTATTTAACCCCCAACCCACACCCCTCACCCCCAAACCACCTCAAATGGCCCAAAATACCCAGCCCAACCCAAAAACTTAAAAAAAATTCAGAAAAAAAAAAATAAATAAATTCGGCCCGGACCGGGCCCGAACCGGCCGGGCCGGTTCACCAAATGGAGGGCCCGAGCCCGGAACTGAAGCCCACCGAGCCGGGTGGCCCGAACCGGGCACTAACCGGTTCACCGGGCCGGTCCGGGCCCGCACAGTAGCGGGCCGGTCCGGTTCCGGGCCGGTTGGCCCGGCCCGAGTCCATCCCTACTTATATGAATGGAGGAGTCTAAATAAATCATGATATTAGGAATAATTGTTTTTTTTTTATTTATCCTTTGCTAGTAGGCTTGGACCCGGTTCGGGCCGCCCGGCCCGTCACTGTACGGGCCCGGAACCGGCCCGGTTCTCGGGTCCGGGTCCGGTTCGGGCACCGAACCGGTTGGGGTAGCGGGTCCGGGCTCGGGTCCTGTTTTTGGAGGCCCGGCCGGGTCGGGCCCGGGCCTAACGGTCAGTTTTAAAAAAAAAAAATCCTTTTTAATTTGAAAAAAAAACATTTTGGCTCAACAGCCACTTCCCAAACGGCTATATAGCCGTTAGGGGGTACCAGGGGGGTCCGGGGCGTTTGTGGGGTGGGGTGGGGGGGTGGGGGTGGGGGGTTAAAAAAAACCTATAAATACTCCTAATTTTAAACAGTTTTTCACACCTCTTCTCCAACTCTCCCTAAATCCTACTCTCTACTCATCTCCAATTCTCCATATTCATCTTCTCAAATTCTCTTATTCTCCTTTATATTTTATTTTACTATTTAATATTTATACAATTATTATATCTATTTATATATTAATTATCTACTTATAAATACATATACTATATTACTTATATTTCTTATCTACTTAATCTCTACTTATATTTCTTAATACATACATACATACTACATCTACTTAATATATACTTTATATAATAAAGTATTAAATATACTTTATAAACTATTACTATATACTTAATACATAATAATATCTACTTCTCTACTTAATAATATCTATTTTATATATACTTATTTTCTTATTTTCCAATCTCCAATTCTCCATTATACTCTAATATTTAATTCTTATACAATTATTATATCCACTTAATACATACATTCTACATCTACTTAATATATACTTTATATATTAAAGTATAAAATATAAGTGTATTACTCATCTTATAGTAGTATACTTATATATTATATACTATATACATTATATTATATATTACTTACTATAACTAGTATTGTACTAGTTAATTAGTTAATTAGCATTCTTGTTACATTTATCATTATAATAGTTAATTAGTTCATTACCATTATTGTTACATTTTTCATTATACTAGTTAATTAGTTTATTAGCATTGTTGTTACATTTGTCATTATACTAGTTAATTAGTTAATTAGCATTGTTGTTACATTTTTCATTATACTAGTTATTTACTTCATTAGTATTCTCATTAATTGTTAAAACAACTCTACTTCAATAAACTAGTTAATTGTCATTAATTCATTATAGTTAAAGTCACATTTTCTTATTTTCAATTTATATTTGTAGGAAGAAATAGTAGTTCAATCATTTAATTAAAGTACTTAACATTTTATTTAAGTAGTTTTTACTAAATTAAAGTACTTCAAAAGTTGGTATAATTTTAATTTTAAAGTCAAACATTAATTCTACTTTGCACTAAATTAGTTTGAAGTATTAATTAAAATAGTTTTAATTAGTTGAATTAGTTTTGTATCCATTATTATATTGGTTGTCAATTAATATTTGTTACATTTTTAAGATGGAAGGTGGTAGATATTCGGTTGATTTGGGTAACCTCCAACGCAATCGAAGGAACGAGATTGGGAGGAAGAAATCCCGCAAAGGTAAAGAACTTGCCGGTTCTTCATCTCAAAGACGAGATGATTTTGAAACGGGTTACCAAAGGCGAGATGGAGATGCGATGTCCGAAGAACAACTCCAACAAGAATTGGCCCGACATAATAACCGCTTTCTACAACAACAACAAATGCCGACGACCATTGACGAAGAGGAGCTTGAGGATGAAGATGCGGAGGAATTGGAACCGGAGACGGCCGAGGAGGAGGGTGCCGGCAGCCACGACGCCGACGAGCCTGCCTCATCCCAAACCGCCACCGGTAATAAAAAAAGTAAGTCTGAACTAATGAAAAATAATTTTGATAAATGGAAGGACCCACAAACCGGCTATTGGCACGCAACTTGCAAGTGGTGCAACAACAATTATAGTTTGGGAACCTCCGGCGGATACGGATCCGCCGCAAGGCATCTTAAGGCAAAGCACCCCGTGGAGTATGCAAAATTAGGCGGCGGAACGGGGAAGCAAACTCAAATATCGAGGTTTGCGAATTCTCAACCTTTTGGTAATTTCTCCTACAATGATGCACAAAATTTGACTGGTATGGCTAACTTAATTTGTGAAGAAAATTTGCCTTATTTGTTTTCTGAAAGTCTTGCTTTAAGATATTATGCACAAGGTAGTTTAAATCCTCAATTTAGAAATTATAGTCGCAAAACTGTTAAGAAAGAAATAATAAGGCTTTATAATGCGGAAAAGGTAAGATTACAAAAATTTTTTGCAAACTTTGATGGGCGTGTTACTATTTGTTCTGACATATGGGAGGATGATTTTCATCATTTATATTATTTGGGTCTGACTGCACATTATATTGATGAGGATTGGAATATGCATAAACGTGTTCTTGCTTTTCGTGAATTTAATGATCGTCACACCGCTGAACATATTTATATTTTGATTGAGCGTATTTTAATTGAGTATAATTTGATTGATAAGGTGTTTGCTATTGGTTTCGATAATGCTACTAATAATACTGCTGCTATACCTAGATTGCGTGAGTTGTGTGGTGCCAATTCTTTGATGGGTAGATTTTTTCATCAACGCTGTGCATGTCATGTTATAAATTTATGTGTGCAAGACGGTTTAAAAGCGTTAGGAGATTCCATGGAGGTAATAAAGGGGGGGATTAGACGTATTTGGGGTAATGGTCAACTTAGATTAAAATGGCAAAGTTATTTGACTGAAAGAGGTGTGAGATATGGTTCTTTTCCTAAAGATTTGAGTATTCGTTGGAATAGCACTTATAAATTACTTAAAGTTGTTCTTAGATATAAAGAACATTTTCCTGCTTTTTTAAAAGAACATGATAACTATATTATAAACGCGGCTGAGATCGACACTTGCGAAAAAATTTGTAATGTTTTGATATATTTTTTTAATGCTACTGAAACTTTTAGTCATGTTTATAAACCTACCGCAAACCAATTTATTCCACAAGCTGTTAATCTCGCCGATGCTTTTAAAGAATTTCAGAATGCCGTTTTCGTTCATTATTTTTGTGATCATATGAAGGAAAAGTTTTTAAAATATTATGCGCATATTCCCCATATTTATGGTATTGCATTTATTCTCGATCCTCGTTATAGACTTGCTAATTTGGAAGATTGTTTCAACTTCTATTATCTTGCGTTTTTCAGTGAATTTCCAATGTATGACGATAACCCCATAGATCCGAAAACGGAATACAACGAGGTTAGTACTTTATTTTATGCCTTATTTAATGAGTTTCGTGCACTATATAGCAACGCTCCCCCTCCCCCGTCACGAACATCTTCATCTAAAGGAAAATCGATTTTTAAATCTGCATTTTGCAATCTTATGAAAAAAACTAAAACAACTCACGTCACTGAACAAAGCGCATTGAATGAGATTACTTTGTATTTAACATATGAAGTTGATTTTGAAGAAAATGATGACTTTGACGTTCTAGACTGGTGGAAGTCAAAAGAAAGAACGTTCCCGATTTTAGCACGGATGGCTAAGCTAGTACTATCAATGCCGGTTTCAACAATTGCTGTGGAACAAGAATTTAGTTCGGCCGGCAACGTCCTAACGGCATCTAGATCGAGATTGAGTGCGGAGTCTCTTGAGACGCTTATATGCTACCACGATTGGTTGAAGGTCGCACGTAGAACTCAAGAATTGAGCATCACCCCCTCCCAAGATTTTATGGATGACTCAACAACCGATGGTGGCTCTACCTATGCCGGAGATTCCGATTGATTAGTATTTTAGAATTTATTATAAAATGTATTTTATAGCACTTGTCAAATTTATTTATACTTGTACTTCATATTTCAAAATTGTAAACTTGTACTTCATATTTCGAAATTGTAAATTTGTAGTTGTACTTCAAATTAATTTGTAAACTTGTACTTCATATTTCAAATAAATATGTGTTCACTTTTTCATATGTAGCACTTCTCAAATTAATTAATTGGTTACAATCTAACGACTTAAAATTATTTTTCTAAAATATAAAGCCGGTTTTTAAATTAAAAATACATTTACAATATGTAATTTGTTTAAATACTTATACACCTATTTTGTAACATTTGTAAATTATAAATCAAACCACTTTTCTAAGTACAAATAGTTTTAGTTTTACTTAATTCATTAAATTAATTAATTTATTTTACAATATGTGTATAACTTTAAAAAAAAAATTAAATCAAACCTCCCAAACGGCTATATAGCCGTTGGGGCTATGGGTGGGGGGCAGGGGGGTCCCGGGGGTAGTGGTGTGGGGAGTGGGGTTCAAAAACATCTATAAATACATCTATTTTCTAACATTTTTCTACACCTCTTCTCCAATTCTTCTCAAACTCTTCTCCATCTTCATCTTCTCTTATTATCCTACATTCCTACTTATACATATACCATTTTAAATATGGAAAGTACATCTTCCCTTATGCAAAACAATTTTGACAAGTGGAAGAACCCGAAGACCGGACTGTGGTGGGCAACTTGCAGGTGGTGCAAGAAAGAGTGTTGCTTGGGGCGTTCATACGGATACGGGATGCCAATAAAACATTTGAAGTCCTGTGACAAAGGGAAAACAACAACCAACGGTGGCGAAAATCCCAATTGATATTCATTACAAAATGTATTTCGTATTGTTATTTTTTTCTCAATTCTCAAATGTAGTTCTTATTTCAAATAAATGCACTTGAACTTTGTTTTTAATAGCAATTTGTATAATATATAATTAACTAAAAAAATATATATACTGGCCCGGCCCGGCCCGGCCCGGCGGGTGGCCCGACCCGTGACCCGGGCGGGTGGCCCGGCCCGAACCGGAACCGGTCATTGACCGGGCCGGTCCCGGGCCTACCATTATAAGACCCGAGGCCCGACCGGGCCTTGACCCGGCCCGGGCCCGACCCGGCCCGGGTCCAACACTATTTGCTAGTTCACATTTTTGTATTAGGCAATAAAATGAAGGTCTTCATTTGAGGGGTCGGACACCGATATTTTGGGGGATATCTTCAGCTTTGTGGAGGGGTCAAGAACATCTTGCAGGAGGCTGATTCCTACGGGGCTCTAGGGATGGTTTCCTCTAAATACTTTTGTTCTATCTTGGAAAAAGTGTCAAATAAACCCACTACGCCTACGAAAATACCACCCAATTAGACCCATAAACCAAGTAAAAAAATCAAAGTGACTTTGTAGCAGGTAACATTCAGGTTCCAAGTAAAGATATATGATTATGGGTGGACCGGTTCCGGTTCGGGCCCGTTTCGGGCCTGGGCCCGGCCGGGCCTCGGTTCAGAAATGGGAGGCCCGGAACCGGCCCGGGTAATCCCGGTTCCGGTTCGGGCCGGGCCGGGCCTCGGTTCTATTTTTTTTTTGGCTTTTCCTAATTAACCCCCAACCCTCCCCCTCACACCCAAACCACCCCAAACCACCTCAAATGGCCCAAAATACCAAGCCCAACCCAAAAACTTAAAAAAATTCAAAAAAAAAATTAATAATTTGGCCCGAACCGGGCCCGAATCGGCCGGGCCGGTTCGCCAATCAAAGGGCCCGGGCCCGAACCGCACAGTAACCGGGCCGGGCCGACCCGAACCGCCCCCCGGGCCGGGCCGGTTCAAACAGTAACCGGGCCGGGCCGGTTCCGCCCGGCCCGAGTCCATCCCTATATATGATGTGGCATTCAATTTTTGTACTTTTTCCTTTTCTTTTTCTATTTGTTTTCCTTTTCTTTCTCTCTTTCTTCCCCACCCTTTTTCTTCTCCCACACCCCCCTCTCCCTATCCCGCGCCTTTCTTTCTTCCTTTCCCTTATTTATCTTTCTTTCTTTTTTTCCTTTTTATTTTGCAATCACGGGTCAGATCCGTGAGCCAGTCTTCTTCTCCGGCAAAGATATAGAAGTTGGGTCGAGCGCCGGTCGTCTTCTCCGGCCAATTTTCGGCAAAGAGAGCGCCGCACCGAACTTTGTCATCCTCTCTTACAAACGTCCTGTCTCATGAAATGTCGATCTTCTCCATCAATTTATTATTTTATTTATTGTTCTTATTTTCCTTGTTTATCCATGGATTGAATGGTATGTCAAAATTCAAAAATCAAAGAAAAGTGAGAAACAGGTAGCTTGAGGGTGTGATTAAGCCAAAGTAGGAGAGATTAAGAATGAAAGCAAAAGAAAATAAGAAACATGCCATGTGTTGCCACGTGTCAATGACCGGTTCATAACCTAATAAAAAACAAATTTGACCATTTTTACAACTTCACATGCTTAATTGGATGATATTTGAGATTGTGGAATTAATTGAAATTTTCATAATAGTAGAGGGGCTTATTTGACATTTTTCTCTTCTATCTTTATTAATTTATTATTGCCTCTTTGCTCTCTCTTTGTTCTCATCATATAAAATGTTTTAGTTTAAAAATTGATTTAACTTTCTAAATTATAATATGATTTTAACAAAAAATTATATCAAATTAAATATTTTTTATTATCTTTCAAATGACAGTACGACACCAATATGTCATATATAACTTTGTTTTAAAAAATAATTATAATACGTATGCAATAAACCACAACAAACATTTTTTGCTAACGCATACACAAGAATATGTATCTGACACGCAATCACTAATATCTAACACACAAACAAGTATTTAACACAATACGTATAAAAGAAACTAAAATAAGTATCTTAAGCACAAAATCCAATATCTAATACACAAAGAGAAATATCTGACACACAACAATTAAAAACTACTCCACACAACAAGAATTTCACACAACTTAAACTAATACTATCTATTTATATAACACACAAGAATCAATATCAAACACAACAACAAATATTTAAAGCACATGAACCGCCCATCTTACTCTTAGTTAGGATATAACACACTACAATTGATATTTGACACACATTAAATGATTAAAAAAATTACAATCAATTGAAATACACAACATCTAGTATCTAATGAACAAAAAATGAAAGATGTTGAGAAATATAAATAAAAACATGTCTAATTAAATACTTGTAATATAGTGCACACTAAAAAAGATATTGATAAATATGAGAAGGCTCAAAAAGAAAGCTATTTACCAATCTCAAATTAAACATAGCTTTTAAATTGACCAAATAAACACACAATCCACTTCTTTTGATAATATTAGCCCAGCCACTAACTCATTTCATTTTAACGGTGCTCCAGTGTTAACACATTTCAATATAAAGCGTGTCATCTTCTTCTAATTTCTTCTTTTCAACTTAGGTGTATTACTATGTATTGTTTTGTTATACTTCTCCACCGCTCATGCTTCTCTTCGAATTCCTTCATCACAAACACGTGAGAATAGATTATTTATGCATCAATGAAGCAAAAAATAGGTTTTTTTTTATGCACGAAAGAAGCAAAAATATAGAAGATGAACCCGAGGGAAAATTGCATTTAAGAACTCCGAGCAGTTAATTGTGCTTATTTTTATGGTCACAGTTTTACTCGTTCTTTTCTGCAGCGATGCTGAGAAAATCGTTGACAAATATAGTGAAATTCAGGGTAAGCCGGATAAGCAAAAGTTGGGTCCATCAAACAAGGCTCGCCTGTACAGATGACAGAAATCTCCTTTGGTGACCCAGATCCACTAGCGTCTCAGTAAGTGATTCTTGGGAAGTTATTCGTCGCCGGCGGCTACAACCGGCAAAGGTACCACAGATCCACCGGCTGCAGAGTAGTTCCATGCCTCGCCGCCTCGGAAAAGTTATGCCACCATCAGTAAAGTAATTGAATAGAGCTTCAAAATCCACCGCACCTACCGCTGGTGAAAGGTGTTTTCAACCTGTGCACGAGCTATCAATGAGCTCGGCCCAGGATTCACTTCATCCAACAGTTGTGATGGCCGTAAGCAAGGATTTGGTTCATATTCTAGACATGTCAATAGCTATTGGAGCAATCTGGAATTGTATTTATCTTGTTTGTAGCTTTAAATTACATGGGATAAAGGATCTATTAACGTTGTTAGAATAGTCCCTTAAAATGTCAGTGGGTGGCTAAATGTAACTCAAATAAGTGATTTATGTGTTGATTTGGTCCATTTAAAAGATTAATGTCCAATTCGAGCTTCGTAGATAACCTTGGTGTCCTTTTTTAGCCTTCTCCCATAAATATATGATATATACTAATAATATTGAAAAGGTAAGTGGAAGTAAATAACCATATACTCCCTCCGTCCCGCAAAGATGTTCACAGTTTGACTTACATACATACTAGATTCTTTACCCGTGCGTTGCACGGGAGAAACTCACATACATATTTGAAATGTAAATAGATACTGTTAATATTAATAAGTTGACGTATGTCATAATCACCGAATTGAAGTAATAGTGTATATGCTTACCATATTAGTTTTACTGTATGCTGCAGTAATGTACTACTACGTATTAATCTCTTGCCTTATTAATATCAACATGTTAGTCTTGTATATTACATGGTGGTAGTGTTGTATTTATTTTCCTTTAATCCCTTACCTTATTAATATGTGCACGTTAGATTGGATTATGGTAGTCTTATATTACGCTGGTTATGTATTATGTATACCTTCCATTAATATCACCCGAGTAAAAGCCAGTTGGGTTTAGGCGGGATGTTGAAAATAAAATGCCAATAATAGCCCTAAGGTGGGCGGGATTTTGAACCAAAAAAGAGCCTCACCTTGTTCCTTTATATAATAATAGATTAAGGAAATAAATTTATCAGAGGGTAAGTTTTACTGTTTTGACACTGTTTTGATGGAGGATAACTTTCCATTTAGGGAAATGAGAACTTCTTTTTGGGACTACTAAAAAAGGAAAGCGGGAACTTCTTTGCGGGACGTAGATAGTAAATGAAAGTGGTCCTTAAAAAATACTCGGGATGTAGTATTTGGGAGAATATGGAATTATGCTTTCCTTTCCTAAATTAAATCACACGTATTAACATCACCGTCTTCACGTAGGTTACAAAAAGTTGACATTAAAGGATGATACAAAAATGCCCTTGCATTTTCTCATCACATCATCTCAGAGTATGTGTATTTTGGATGGTTGAGATTTGTTCTTACGTATATATATTGTTGCAATTTCTTATAAATGGAACTGGAACCGGTTGCCATTTTGAACCGCTTCCAGGTGCCGGTTTTGGTCCTAATAAAAAAAATCAACCAGTTCCTATCCAGCAGTCCAATTCCAAAAGCGGAACCATGATCCAAGTATCCAACCATACTAGTGTGGATGATCAAATGACCATTTACCAAAATGTTTGTTGCCCTTCCAAAAGCATGCTTGAAATCCTAAATCTGGTTATCATTTTGAACACTAGTTCAGGGATTCATTTGGCATTAATCCATAATTACATATGGAGCACGAAATCAAAATACAAGTCTCGTGGTTTTGTCTTTGCGGAAAGCACATTCAATTCCTCTAGGAGAAACTCAAAGGCCCATCAGTTGCATGTTCAGATTCCAACGTTACCAAATATCTAAAGTAAATTATCTGCACATGGTCAAGGCTCAAGAGCTCAAGCCCTCAGCCAAATTCAGCTCAGAAGCCCCTAAAGTGGCACTTCATTGCCCAAGCTCTAGTATGTAAATGCAGGTCATGTGTGTGTTGTGAAGTGAAAAGTTTAAATAGATCCAGGAAAAATGGTGTCTCAGTGCATCATCTTGGAAAACAATTGCATAAGGGTCAGGAGTCACTTGTGCAGTTGTACCACTTATCCCACCTTTTTTTCATACAGAGAAGCCTTAATTCTAAATGACTGACTGATGTTTTACAGAACATATTCCAACAGACCTTATATGAGCATGGCTAAGGTGTTTCTAAGAATCCAAAGTGGTAAAACCTTAAAAGCGCTATGCATGTGGCTAGGAGGAAAAGAATCAGCTTTAAGCAGCATTTAAATGAAATTAGCTAGAACCCAGGGTTAATCAGCATAAAACCCCCACCTAAGCATGGATAACAACAATGCAAGAACCACAACCAAAACGCATTGAATTGAAGCAGATTTCTGAAAATTCATTGAACAGATTAAGGAAATCCGTTGAAGGAAGAAAAGAGAAATGGGGAACTGAAAGTGTTGCCTAATTTTTATATCCCCAAAAAAAATTACTCCCTCCGTCCCCAAATGAAGTTGAGCATTGCTTTTCACACATATTAAGGAAAGAAATTTACTGGGGGGTAAATTTTACTGTTTGGACACTGTTTGGCACTGTTTGGCACTGTTTGACACTGTTTTGATATAGATAAATTGCCAAATAAGGAAAGGTGAACTTCATTCAGGGACTACCCAAAAAGGAAAGGGTGAACTTGTTTCAGGGACGGAGGGAGTACTTGGCAATGACCAACCAAGTAACAAACTAGGTTCAAACTTCCGAGCACAGTTCTTGACTAGTCTACTGCACTACTACTACTCCTACTACTAGTACTAGTACACATCTATGTTTTACTGATGAGCATTCTACCTACTAAGAATCATGTCAATGTCAGTTCAGACAATGACAAGCATTGGTAGCTGTAGTTTACACCTAAAAATGATGTAAATTTGTTCCACACGTTCCAACTAAGATCAGTTTAACACAACTCATGGGGATTGACAACAGCTAAGTTGTTGGAAATGTATCCTTCCATGGGCAACTTGCTTAAGATTTTCAGCAATTCTATGAATAATATAAATACCCCATACTTATTCCAATGCAAAAAAGTCCCTAATTTAGTCCAAACCAAAATCATCAAATCATTATTATATTGCCACATCTAATACCGCCATTCTGTGAATACACAAATCACATAGAAAATCTCGCCTTGTTTTTGTATTAGCTACATATACTCAGATTGCAGGAAAAGGCTCGAGCAATTACGAGAATCGGAATATATATAAAATAACAAAAATTGGTATATCATACTTAGAGACTGTGCTTTAATTCCATAACGCTCTTCATCTTGGGGGCATAGAGCCCATAGACAAGGGCCTGGCGTTTGGCAATCTCAAGCTGCGCCTTGCCGTCGGAGAAGGCTGCGGCGACATGAGAGGAGTCTGTGAGGGCCTTGTTGTGTCGGAAGGCATCGATGGTCCGGCGCTTGGTGTATTCTCTTATATTGTAGTCTGAGAAGTCACGGGCCGTCTTTAGCAGTGACCGGAACAGCAAGAGAACTTCAACCCTCGATGGCGATGCCATTATCGTGTTTTTGACAAATAAGAAAAGGGTGAAAGAGGCCGTTGTCTTGCAAATTGTTCTTATGCCTCTGGATCCCCCTAAACCTTATTTGCCGACTTTGATCCCTACTCTTTCACCTTTTCTCAAGAAACAGAAAAAGCCTCAAATAGACTCTTCACTAATACGAAAAAGTCACTGAACTCAAAAAACACACAATTAATCACATCAACTATAAAAAACGAGGTAAAATAGTCCTTTTAGCATGTATTTAACCGGTTCCCGGTTCCATTAGTCCACGTGTTGCACACGTGTCGTCACGTGTTGCCATTTGTGGCCACCTGTCGGTTGTCGCCACGTGTAAAGGTTTACCTGAAATCTGTTAATTACATGTTAAAAGAACTATTTTGCCTCGTTTTTTATAGTTTATGGGTTTAAGTGGGTGTTTTTTGAGTTCGTGGGCTTAAATGACTTTTCCGTATTAGTAGGGGGCCTATTTGACATTTTCCCCTTCTTTATCATTAATTCCTAAATGAAGGGGTAATTTAAGCTTGCACCTCATTTCATTTCATATGACATCAAAATTGTATATATAAAGTTTGTCGGGAGTAGTTGAAATACCGTGGGAGCAGCCTACAGTGAGCATGCTGCTGTCACAGACAAAAACGTGTGTTACTGTTCACGCGCGTGAACAATCACTTTTTTATTGTTCAACAGCAGAATGATGTATCTCGTATGTAGAGAAATGTAACTCATGTCGATAGAAAATATAACCGCAGGCAAGTCGAAATGTAACGTGTCTAATACGGATAATAAGAAATAAAATATTGATTTCAATGAAAATAGGGAGTCTAATTGCTTAATTATTTTACCTAAATAGTGAATATGCTTTATTTTTAAAATTAAGATCATAAAAAATGTTTTTTTTAATTATTTTTGTTAAAAATGATTTTTTTGCAAGGGTTATTTGTGATGTAACACATGTTATGAAAAATGTGAATCGTATTGATGGAAAGTCTAACTTAAATGATTGCAAAATGTAACTTGTTAAGGCAAGTCTAAATGTAACTCACGTATAAGAAGATGTAATTTTTTTTACTAGGGAAGATGTAACTTATGAATAAGAAAGATGTAACTCACACATATACTAACTGTACGCAAACAGTTTACAATATAAATATACAATAAATATAAAAAGTATATAAATATAAAAAGATATTACACAAAAATATACTCCCTCCTTCCCGAAAAAGGTTGACCAAAGTTGACTTTCACGTGGAATAATAAAATAAAAACTGTGTGGTTGAAATTTGTGCAAAGGAAAGAGAATTAACTTTAGCCACATATTCCTTACTTTAAATGGAAATGACAAATCTTTTTGGGACATCCAAAAAAAGGAAATTTGACCAACCTTTTCGGGACGGATGGAGTATTATGTTGTAATTTCAATTGAAGAAAACAAAAGGGTATGAATAAGGACTAAGATAGAAAAAAAAAAGGAAATAATTTATTTTGAAATGATAAAAATTAGATCACAAAATTGTAATACTACATTCCAGTGTTCATAAATTCAAAAAAGACATTCCAAAACTGTGATACAATGATAGGTAGCTTATGATTAATAAAAAATTAAAAGGAAAAAATTGAGGGTGGAGGAATGCTGTTAGAACTAAGCGAGCATGGTGATCCACGGATAGCAACAGTAAAAAAACAGTACCGCAAAGGCGCAACCGCGCAACCAGAATAGTGGCCTAAATACTGGCCTACTGGGTCGAACTAGATAGGTACAAAAAAATATTTTTGTAAAAAAATTACACGGAATTTTTTACACTAAAAATATAGACATTTTTTAAATTTGGGATGGGCTGGATAGGGACCAAGTTGACCACCCCTAGCTACGCCCCTGCGGTACCATATTGGGACCAGTATACCATGCATATGGTATACCGACATAAATAAATAAACAAACAAACGACTGCATTAAATAAATAAATTGTAAAATCGCTTTATTGATGTTGGCGTATTCATCCGTTCGTGCGTATTGCTATTTTATAATATATGAATCAAATTAAATCAAATCAAATAAACTCATCACGTGGAAATAAAATCTAAACGGCCAAAACATTGCAACAGAAGCCAGTGATAGACATGATATTGTGCTAACATATATAACCCACGCATTTGCATGGAGGATGCAACCAAATCATTTGCAAGCTGAATTGGCATTTGTCAGATCTCCCGGCAAGTTGGAGCGATGAAATTGGGGAAAACAATGAATTTGATCGACAACGGGGATATAGCAATGGGAGAGTTCACATTTTGAAGGAGTGGTGAAAGCAGAGGGATATCTCCGTTTTCTGTAAGTTGTAACGGGCGTCCGTTCAGCAATGCGATTCTGCTTTGGAGATCCCCATTTTGTGGAGTAAGATGGTACTCTTCTCGATACAGCGGGACTTGAGATGATTTGCTTCCCATCCATGAAACGAGTTCCTTGATACGGTGCAGGAAGGATCGTTTTTTCTTGTGATTTGTTATCACTCTGGCATGCCGCAGGTCGACGCTTGTCCTGGATTCAATGTCAATAGTGAACCTTGTTTGGTTGCTTAGGTTGATCAAAAGAAGGGTGACACCACCAGCCTGTATAAAACACACCACTGCAGCCAGTTAAATATATGAAGAGTTCAGCCTTTACATCAAACTGGCCAGGTGCAACTTTGTCAAAAAGGAGCTCTATCTCAACCCTATTATCACCTTAATCCAAACTGGGGGAACGGTTTCACGGATGCCGGTCCTAAGTATCATGGGTGCAGCTAGGGGGGGCAAATGGTCATATACCCACTCAAGTTTGGTAAAAACCTTCATTTCGATATGTCATTTTGTCTGCGTATATGAACGAATTTCTATTCTGGCGGGCACCCAAATTCAAAAGATTAGGGCCCAATATTTGGTGATTTAATAGGTCAAAAGCACAGCTTGAAGTTATAAGAATCCAAATCCATCAACTCTTAACCTGTCTCATCACAAATATCTTTGGACCAATTAATTTAGTGACCTCATAAATTACGTCCAATGAAGAGATCTTGCACATAGGCTGCAAAAAACCCATGAACAGCCCCGAATTCGTTCCATGAAATTTAAAGTGTTGATTCGATCTAAAATTAGTTAACGCTATAAACTCAAGCAAAAGGTGGGTTAATTACAAACATTAGAGAGATCAGAGATGAAAGTCCAAATTCATTGCCATCAAATATTTTTTGCCTTTGCTTGTAAACTACCGTGCTCTATCTCAATTATAACTCAATATTTATTTTAACTAACACGTGACTGGTCAACATTCTTTTAACTATCTCAACTCATCGTTGTCTCATACTCCCTCTTTCCCAAAAATGTTATGTTTTGTCAAATACTCCGTAATAAATTTTGGAAAATATATGAATCTACCATACGACTTTGATACTTTTAAATATAATATTAAACCTGTTTGCAACTTGTTTGAAAAATACATGAAACAATTACCTTTGTTTGATCAAATAAAACTCCATTTCGGACCAAATAAAAAAGATTGTCAACCATGACTGTATGGAGTGAAAACAAAACAATGACTGATGCTTTCGAAATTTCTTCTTATTATTCCTTCTTTAATAAGTTGCAACATGAAGGAAATTTAGCCCAAAACCTTTTCGTTAAGCAATTACTCCTTCTGTTCCGTTCCGTTAAGATTGTCCCATATTTCCTTTTCGGTCCATCCCACTAAGACTGTCACATACCAAATTTGGTAAAGTTTGTGTGATTCTAAATCATTCTTAAATTTCTTACTTTATTCTTACTTTATCAATTCAATATTAACCACATAAATCCACTTGTTTTAATATCCGCACCACCTCCTAATGTTCCAATGTCACTGAGACGGAGGTAGTATTTTTCTACTATAGGTTTCATGAAAGTTTGTGATTTTGCCCCTGGTCAGCGTATTTATGATTATGATATTTTCTGTTTTAAGTTTCATGAAATTTTGCATCTCTGAGCAAATAGACATGGGCATGGGATTCATTCTATTGTCAAATAAAAGGATAGGTTACGGTGCTTACTCTTTCTTTTGTGCAGTGAGCATAAGCACGTAGGTATGGTGATGCATGTCTGTTCACATCAAGCACTCCTCGCCCCATCAGCCGATGCCAAACAAGTGCACTGAATTCAAAGAGAGTGTTAGGTAATCCACATTCATATTAACTTTCAAGAGACAACTTAGAAAATTCGTCACATATTTCGTATGAAAACATAACTTGGAGCATGCTTGATAACCCTTTTCAGCTTATCGGTCTTATTAGCCCGATTTAAGGTATAATTGCCTATCACACTTCATTGTGCTGACTGAACGATTGAAATGAAAGCAAATGTCATCTCTAATTCATATTTTGATATTGTATTTTTTGCTGCTATTTTTAAGAAAAATATTTTCTACAAATCTTTTAAAATACTTTAGCAGATTCAACCAATTCAATGACTTCAACAATTTAATACTCCTCAGCTATTTTGAGCCTTGCCAAATGGGCTAACCTGTAATAATCTGGATTTGGGGAAAAAGTGCTTGTGTCAAGAAGCCCATAGTTCCCACCGATTAAGCTTTGCCGGCAATAGACTTTTGTATTGTACTTGGCTGCCATCCCAAGCTGATCGACATACCTTAAATTTCATTACAGACTGAAAGTTATTGATGACTTCCTTAAGAGTAACATATACTGCGTATGTACTAACGCAACACATTTAAATATTCATGTTTAAAAAATAATTTAAATTCAATACCAAAATATTACCAGAAACTGTCAACGAAGGCATTGGACACTTTCGAACCACCACTATTATAGGCACCGCCAGCTTCTCCAACCCAAGCTGAAGCCCAAGGACCATTTGCATGAATGGTTTGCGAAACACTTTCAAATGTATCTGATATCTTATTCAAGTACTCCGGATTTAGAATTCTGCTTATGAGATTGGGGTCAGATCCTGAAAACAGAATTTGTAGGCTTTATTCAAATAGCAGAGTAATTACATCACCACTGAATGTGATGAATTATATAAATATGTATTAAAATGTCTTATTAAAATAAACTAAATAAAAAATATCGAAAAGATGTGGGTATAATGTCATTTAACTCCAATACAATGAAAAACTTCTGCTCTACATTCTCTTTATGTGGTGATTCACTTCATGCAGTAAAATAAATTGGTGTTTTATATAAAACTGGCGGATAAGAAATTGAAGCTACTAAACAGGCAGAAATTAAACCAGGTTGTAATGAAGCTTTTAAAATGATAAAACATGCTTGCTGTCTTGGTGCATACGATTTTTTTTCAAATGGATGGTAAAATGATTCTTTTCCGTCATTTGCAATGAAGCCGAAGATTCACTATTTTTTGGCTTGGGAGTATGATGGAATAAAGCAAAATGGCTCACTAAATTTTATGCGCTTCTTTGTTATGAAGCAACCGTCAGTTCTTGCAATTTTTTTCAACGTAAATTTCACCATGGGTCATCCGGAAACAGTCTCTCTGTGTTTTAGTACAGGGGTAAGGCTGCATGCATCTGACCCCTCCCCTACCCAACCGTAGGTGGGAGACTTTGCAACGGTGGGGTAATGGTGATGATGATGGATGGTAAAATGATTCGGAAGTCTAGAAAAACTATGTAGAAAAGAAAATATATAAAGTAAAACAAAACAAAACTATTTGTCTAAAAAAGGAGTCCTCTTTAATTAAATGATGATATTTTTTCAATAAAAACAAACCAAAATATTATACTCCCTCCGGTTTTATTTAATCTTCACACTTTGACTTCACACAAAATAAGTAAAGAAATTTGACTTTAGTGTAGAGTACATTGTTAAGGCACTGTTTGACACTGTTTGGCACTGTAGAGACACTGTTTGGATGTAGATTTCTTTGCCAAAAAAGGAAATAAGGAAGTGTGAAGTTTATTTTAGACCGTCCCAAAAAGGAAAGTGTGAAGTTTATTAAAAACGGAGGGAGTAACTCACAATTCAACCTCTTCTTTATCTTTTATCACCTTTATCTTTTTATCTTTTTTGTCTTATCATTTTCTACTTTATATTATCTTTATCTTATCTTATTTATCTTTTTATTTTATATTATCTTTTTATCTTTTTTAACTCCGATTTCATATGTCAATTCATGTTAGCCGATCTCAAACTCTTTTGGGACTAAGGCTTAGGTGTTGTTGCTGTTGAAATCGTAAACCATTACAAACAATCTAAAATTATAAGTATCATTTATGAGTTACAAGTATTAACAATTGTACCTTGACAAAATAGTTGTCCTTGACCAAACAAGACATTTTATAAGACGAAGGGAGTAGTAAGCTTTAACAACTTACCTGGTCCGAGATTATATATATGATGTGTCAAGGCATTGACAATGGATGGTCCCGAAGCATCAAGGAAGTGCTCAAACCACAACTTATCATAGAACCCTCCTGGTGCCAGTAGAAGGGGTTTTGGATGTGTGTTCCCATACAGTTGATTAATGACAGACTTCAGTCTGATCATATCCTTTGCATATTGTCCAGCATCAACACTGGCACCAACACCAGGACCACACAGTTCGTTGCCTCCAATAGCAATATCAAACATTGATCATAAGTCACTATTTATAAATCATAACATCTATTAAAATTTGAACAAGATTTGTTAAATTAGACAGTACTCACTCAAAAGAATGCTCAAGAAGTTAGGTTTACCTATTCACTTATACGCTAATTCAAACTCAGTGTAAGACCAGTGGGCAGTACGATACTCAACACTCCCTGTCAGCCCAAACCAGTTTGAACAACTAAAAGAGTGGGCAATGGGCCCAAACCAACCAACCAACATGTTGCACCAAACTATCGTGTGACTAGGGCGGATCTAAACTTGGGTTGTCGTGGATTGAAGCACAGGGAAACCTAGCCTTTTTACATTTTTTCAATGAAAACGTTATCTTTTTCCCATGTAGGCCACCTCCATTTTTCCTTCGGCCCAGTCCACACTATTCAGTCCAGTCCAACATAAATTCCTAAATCCTACTCTGCATGTGACCATCATCGTACCAGGCTTGGTTCCATGTGGAGTTGGGCCTAACCCACTCTAAAATGATTGCAGAGGTAAAGTTCACCGCAAACTTATACAGTAGACTAATAAAAAAAACGAAGTATACTTGAAAAGTTTCAAGAACAAATAGATTAGCACTCCCTACCAAATTCCCACGAGCTTATGTGGTAACCCTTGGAAATGGTGTAGTTGATAAAGTCATGGGCATTACTGGAATCCCAGTTTCCTCTCCACTGTTTTTGCATCCTCTGTCTCCCTTGTAATGCATTCAAACCGAACGTAATAAGTGCTCTGAAATTCAAAATTCACAATAGTTTAACAGAACTGTAACCTTTTCTGGAAAACATTGCCATGTATGCTACAAGTTATGAATGAAATACAAGAAATTGATCAATTGAGAATTTTCCAACACTATGTAAGAAGAGAAAGAATTCTGAAAAAAGTTAGTTTACCCTGTCTTCCTGAAGAAGCTGTTTAACTCATCCCACCTGCCCATATGTAGGCATCCTTTAGAAAATCCAAACAGCCCATCATTCTGCTTCCTAAAGGGATGGCAGGGAGCCTTCAGACTTCCCACATCATAAAGAACTTGGTCTTGCAATGAACCCCCAAGTCGTAATCTCAAACCATGAAAAGCTATAATAAATTAATAATAACAACCATTATACAGAGAGAGATATCACCAGAAGCTCATGCTCCCATAATTAATTAATTACTAGTTCAGATCATTTTACTTACTTGAAGGTATGAAACCAAATGATATGGGGAAATAACTTTTCAGATGACTACTTTACAATATGGAAAGACTATTTTCACATTTTATTTGTCCAACTTCTTTCTTAGTCTGCCACAAGACATTATAAACTTTTCATTGTTTTAAATCAATAATTAATTATATTCTCAATTCACCCTTACTACCTTTTAACAGTTCAAGGTGATTTGATGACTACATGAATCCCTTTACTACCCCATAAAATACATCAGAATATTTGGATGGAGTAAGTAATACAATGAGTACACAGATTCATACCAAAACCTAAGTGTTAAAGATCACAAAGGAAAATGCAAACCTTGGATAGCATTTGCCAGAAAAGGGTGAGATAAATCCTGAAAAGATCAAACCGCTAGTGAGAAATGTTGATTGTTCTGTGAATATCAAATTTAAATTAAACTAAAAAAGGGTTGGAATTTTTTGTGAACATAATCATCACTTAGATTTGTACCAGGTTTGTCACAGATGAAAAACCCCAGGGGCATTGGTTGTAGTTACACTTATCGTGAGGCCACCAATCAAGGGTAGCGCATATATAATTAGCATCGGTATTTCCGATCCGTTTGGTTGTTTCAATCACAAGTGAAGCATGCTCAACACTTTGTGTAAAAACTGTAGGAAACAATGCTAGAAAAACTAGCAATAATTCTTGGAAGCGCATTGATTATTCAACTCCGGAGCTTAGGCTGAACTCAGTCGAAAGTACTGTATGGGAGTTGCATAAACGAATCCTGTTTCCTGCTTCTTTAATTAACTGAAAATATGAAGCATGTCATCAAAACAAAGGCATCGCCCTTCAGATTTTTCACATTTTTCATGACGAGTGGCCATGTAATTTCATAAAGAATCTCAACAGATTAAATATAACATGTTTGGTTAAACCAGTAAATAAACATAAAAAATACAAGTAAAATAGTGATTTATAATAGTTGCACCTTACCAAAATTTAAAAGTTGTACTTTATAAGCCATTCGATAAGAAGGGATTCATATATTTATCCAAGATCACGACTTTATAATAAAATAAGAAATTGGTGAATCTACTAAACTTAAATAAGGAAACAAACAATGTCCAATTCAAAAGCTTGAGATGCCAAGCAGCCCAGATTACTTAAATTATCAAAGCATCGTTTTCTTTAGTTCAGGTGGGCAAAGATTTGGCAGGGAAACTTGCTTTCTACTTCTTCTCTTTTCCGGATATATAAGTATTCATAAAGAAAAAGACTGGGCAACAGAACAGCAAGTAAAAACAAACGACACCAGAAAACGATCCTTCGAACCAAAGACAAATTTCAAACAGTTTATAAGCTAAGCTATAAAGCCATTAAAAAGGGATATGAAACGTTAAACAAGATCAGATGCTCCAAAAAACTCAAATATCCATTTCAGCTAGAGTTTCAGTAAGCTGAGATAAACAAGAAAGAACAAGAGAAGCAAAGTCCTTCAGTTAACGCGGGGATAAAACTTTAAACCATGTGCATGAAAATTAAGGAAACCCAAGAAAGAAGGAACCCCAAATCCTGAGCTAAAAGGTTGGATTTACCGATAGATTCAAATGCATAGCTGGGGGATAAGAGGTGCGTGTGAGTGTGTGTATAGGTTGGGTCTCAGATTTCAGCTGAAGGTGGGCCCCTAGCTCGTCGGGTGTCAGCGTCAAATTTCGCTTGCGAATTTGGCAAGAATAATGAATGATGGGTGTCATTCCACTATGATACCAAATGTCTTCACCCATTACATGAAAATTCTACATATAGTATTAGACTTTATAATGATTGGATGGATACACAAAACATAAACAAAAGGCAAATGCGTCTCTGATTAACTGATTAAGATGGACAACTTTCCAAGTCAATAACTATCGGAAGTCAAGGTTATTAATCAAATGTAGAAACTAGAAAGATCAGTATGGTATGGTATGGTATGTGGAAAGAATACATTTTTCCTTTTCCTTTTTGTAAGTGAATTGATTTCCAAATATAGAGAAGTGATCAGGTCCAGCCGGAGGGACGGGAGGCGCCGTCCGAACTCCGCCGTTTGGGACGGTTCCCGGTGGAATTTTTTGATGAAATTTTTTGAGCATGTTCTTAATCAAGTCTAGTTTGTTCATACCAAATTTCAGCTCAAAATTCGACCGGGAAGGCATTCAAATCATTTTTTGAAGTTGACTGCGCCAAAATATACATATAAAAATGCAGTCAGCTTCAAAAAATGATTTGAATGCCTTCCCGGTCGAATTTTGAGCTGAAATTTGGTATGGACAAACTAGACTTGATGAAGAACATGCTCAAAAAATTTCATCAAAAAATTCCACCGGGAACCGCACCAAACGGCGGAGTTCGGACGGCGGCTGGACCAGGGAGGGCTGGACCGGATCTTTTTTGTCCAAATATATTCTTTTACAAATCTTATGCGTGTGCAGATCATGTAGAATGAGGGGTGGATCATTTGGAGACCCAAAAAATGATCGATTTTGACCAAATTTTAAAGAGATGATTTTATTGTTGTTCTTATGATGTTTGTAGTTGAATTGAAATTTTCTGATTTGGTCTATTCTATTTACGTCCGATCTAATTTGGTCTAAACTAGTCTGATTTGGTCTGTTAAGTCTTGTCTTTGTCTATTTTACAATTGTAGAAGTTTGGTCTAGTCTTTTAAAATCAAGTTTGATATGATCTGCTAAAGTCTGATCTAGTCTGATATTGGATTGAAATAAATTCAATTAAAAACACCTTAATAATTTGAATGGCTGAATCCAATAATGGAGTTTAACTTAATTTCGAGTATTTATTTCATGTAAAAAAAAACTAACTCAATACAAGAAATTTGCAAGTGCACAAGTAGTAGGATTCAACATTTGAAAGATATGAGAAAGGACCGACATAGAGGATCTTTTGTTTTAGAAATTGAAATAGACCAATCAAGGGTTTGAGTTTACAATAACAGTTAGCATTGAATATATGTTTTCCGGTTAGGGTTTGTTTTCCGGTGGTCGATTTAATCGGCGCTGTCCGGCGTGTTTTGGGTTGCACCTCTTATCAGCTACAATATCCTCTTATCGCCGCTCGATTGAAAATCCTTCTTGGACGGTTTGATCCAGGGAATTCTCGAATGGTTGGATCCAAGGAAGACTCTTATTTGCACCAGTGATTCATACCGGTCTGGAATCCTTTCTTGGACGGGCTGATTCAAGAACTTTACAGGCAATTACTTACAAAGGCAGCATGATAGAAATCTCTTATGCACCTCGGACATGGATTTCAATTATGATAAACCTCAAGAAGCAAATTGGCGAGAGCAGATTGGCGAACACAAGAAGGATAGGGTTTCAGAAGAATTTTCCAGGGCTCGAAATTCTCTTCTCCCATACTACAACAGCTCGTCCACCTCAAGAATCACCTCCGGACGAAGAAGCAATTTGGGGAAAGTTTCTATTTTCGCATTATTTTTCCTTTAGTAGTACTTGTTTTTATTTTAGTTCGAGTAGGTATAGTTGGAGTATTTTGATTTTTGATGAACATTTGATAGGCAACGCTTCATTTTCGATCGTTTTAGGCTTATTTTTGCCCGTTTTGTGTCTAGTGAGTCAGGTTGCTTTGTATGGGTGGCTGACTCTAAGTCTATTCCTAGGGCTTGCGATCAGATCTGTAATAACTGTCTGGATATTATTTTGCACGTTTGCTCTATTTTAATGAAAGCCGTTTTTACGATCAAAAAAAAAAACTTATGAGTATAACTAGTAAATTGGTCGCGCATTGCACAAATGTCATATGCCCAACTCTCAATTTTAATAAATTGTGTAAAATGATTTCAACATAAGTATCTACTAAATGTTTATTTTAGAAGTTATTTAATATAACATACCCCAAAGTATTAATTTTCACACACAAAACATATACTTCCTCCGTCCCAAAAATATTGTCCTGTTTGGTTTTTCACACAGATTAAGAAAATGACACTGTAGCGACACTGTTTGACACTGTTTGGTATAGATTTGTTTCCCAAATAAGGAAGGTAAAGAAACGAGACAATTATTTCGGGACGGACCGAAATGGAAAGCAGGACAATAATTTTGGGACGGGGATAGTGTTAATTTTCACAAAAACCGAGATGCAGTTGAATTGGATTCATAAATTAATTGAAGTGTGAATATAAAAAAATGAAGAAATTGATTGAAGCAAGAAAACATAATTAAATATAAGTTTTATATTTAACTTTCAATATTCAAAATGCCAATGAAAGTATTGTTGAATATAAAAATTTAAATTAACATTAAATAATGGTCATATAAACGTCATTCGAAGCAATTTGAAAACACTAATTCAAACCTATCATGATTAAACAAACTGGATCTCACCCCTACGAAAGTGAATTGCTTAATGAATCAAAATTGCACAAAACATAGGAGGATGTTTTGCTTTTAAATATCCAAATAAATACACAAAGAGGAGCCTGAAGCTTACATACCTAGCGTACAAACATTGCAAGACCTAAAATAAGCATGGCGAAAGTGCGAAACCTCTTTGAAAATATATTACATAGTACTACCTTCTTCTCATTTTATGTGTCTTACCTTGACTTGACACAATTATTAATAAAGTGTTTGAAAAAGTTAAAGTTGTAGTTGAGATTTGGGTATAATAAAGTCAGATGCTGTGGACTACATTTTTAAAAAAAAAATATACTTATTTTGGAACAACCCCAAAAGAAAAATAGGACAGGTAAAATGAAACAGAGGGGTACTACAAATTAAAATCATGAACTCATAAAGAAATGTTCAAGTAGTAAGAAATAATGCTCAAATATTTTAAGAGAGCATAATATAACTTACCTAAAAAGTTGATTATCAATGATGACAAGGAGATCAAGGGAAGAACTTGAAATCTCAAATAGTTATACGGTTATACCCACTTGATAAATGTTACGTAGTAGTAATTGATACATACGTATAGTAGTAGTAATTGATATGAGAAGTTTCATCTTCTCGAGTTGACATATGGAAATCATTTTCTTAATTTAAAATCGAATTAAATCATTAAATTGAGGAGTAAATGTTGAAAAAATTAAAACCAATTACATCGATGAGGCAAAGCAACAATTACAAAATTTTGACATATAAATTACAACAAATAGAGGAGATTGGTGAATGAAATCGGGGTTGATGATTTTAACACCGTTTACACCATTTGCTTGACGTTACATTTCATAATCTGGCAGGTCACTTAAATGGAACACTTTGATAACGTAAGGTACTTTCGTTCAAAGCCTATGTAAATAAATAATGAGCATTTAATAAGAAAACTGGCCTTTATAAGATAAGTTAAGATAGGTTAAGATCCACTTAAGTACATTAAACTCTTGTTACATTAGTGAGAGCGTGATTATCTTTACGTGTAAATCTTGTCACCATATTTAATGTAGTATATTTATATCTACTATATAAATATGTTAATCCTTTAGTGCATAGTTTGAAATTCAATGTGAGTTGATATAACCCTATATTGTACACAATAATTGTAGGCACAATAAATTGATTATTACACCAAACACTTAGAGTGTATAAAGTTTCAACTCTATCTTTGACTTAAGAATTTAGCTACTAAAATTCATAATCAATATTCAAAGATTGAAATACACAAATTGAACCAAATACATCAGAGAAATAATACACAACTCCAAACTACAGTGATGACAATGCTTCAATTCTCTAAGAAACGAACTTCCTCAAATTGAAGGAGTTTCCTTGAGATTAAATTATAGGATAACGAATGGTGGATACTATAATGATGAATATTTGCTAGATGTGCTTGGACATCATTATATATAAGATTTTCAACCGTCGACAATAAGGCATAGCTCATAGAAGTTTTTTGTTGGTGTCATGAAGTGATTGTGTAGAACGTTGTTGATTTGAAGTTGCTGAATTTTGATTTTAAAGATCTCAGTTAAAAAGTCTTAGGCGGTACAAAGTCAGGGCAACATTGACTAGTGTAGAATTAACTCAATGGACATCGGTTAGTTTCTTTACACTTTGGGTGGCTTCCTTGAAAATTGAAGGACCGAAGACAAGCAGCGTTGATGAAAGTCGAGCTTCTTTTGTTGCATTAAACCTGTAGTTGGGTTGTGGATCCGTTAACTAAAACATTGTCAAGAGTGTTGGTCAAGCCATCAAGGAGAGTAATGGGCCTACAATTAATGATCCAATAAGTTCATTGGGGAAACCCTACCTACATTATTGAGAGTTCCTCATAATTAGGTTCAAATGAAAAACAAAATTGTGGACATGACTCAAGCGGTGCTAGTCAAGATATAGTACACTCATGCCAAAAGCAAGAGCACTTAAGGTAAGTTGTGCTTTTGATAATCTCCATATTTTGATCCGTTAAAGTAAGGTATAGTATGATGCCTTCGATAGAGATAACCAATGTCAATGGAAGGGGATACTTCTATGAGACTCTACGGTACAATATAAACTCTCTAAAGCACTAGCTGAAACATTAGGTGTTCAAGGCCGAAATGAACACAAATGTGATAACCAGATATGCACTTAGGGCTCTGTGTGTTATTCATTGTCTAGGTTTATGTTGCGGTTGACATTTAAGGCAGAAACGCTCACAGATTGGCCAGCAAATCAGATTGGCCACATGTAGGTTTAAGGTTTCACGACTATTTTCTTATGCAGAGTTCCTAACTTCCTCTAATCCAAACTCGTATGTTTATGTTTCAAGTCAATTTCTCATTTATGTGGGGGGATGTTGGAAAATAGTTGTACAAATTAATATTTTAGTCACTTTGGAGCTAACATATGTAAGGGACTCATGTTTCATTTTAGTGGAACCAAGTCTTAACATATTGTACTCTTTGAGGTAAACATTTTCATATATTATTTTTGGAAAATCATTTTGAAATAAATGACAAATTGAGTGCGAAGTTCCTCCGAAACAAGGTATGTGTAGAAAAAGTTTCACACCAAAAACTTTAACTAAAG